GTAGCTAGCCTCGAGGAGGCCCCGTATCAAAAATCTGGTAGGGGCCCTTATACCGGAAAAGGTGCTGGCAAAAAAATTTTTAGGGTATCATTTTTTTGCATTTACCAATTTTTATAATTTAATAATTAATATATGTGGGTGAATATCACGAAATGTCCCCCGATGGTGTTACCCCGTGATATTTAATAAATCTAAATGTTTGACCACCACTTTTATTGTATTTTGATCTTTCATAATTAAGTAGATATTACAGCTCAGGCTCCAGATTTTTAACCGCAATTAATTATTTTTTACAATGTATTAAAAGTCTAAAACCTATCCTCCGTGACTCTTACTCTTTCTAGGTTAACCAACTCTCTAAAAATGAATTAGTCAAAAATAACTAATTTAATAGTTATTAGTGGCTGCTTTTTCACTTGTACTCTGGTTAACCATGGAATACCATGGTATTCAAAAATTTAACAGCTAATTATTATGTACAATTTTTTTAATTCACCTATACATATATGTACATATTAGGGTGATTTGTTTTAAATGAACGTTGTTTTATAGTGTTGGACTATACACTAAAAATCACTAAAATTGAAAAAAAACAACTAAAAAAAATCTTTGACGCCCTCTACCAGCTAAACGAAGCAATTTTTAATATAATTAACTTGTTAACAGGCATCACAGATCTCCCAGATTTATCGTGAGATCTCACAAATTTGCATTCAAGCTCACGATCTAATGAAAAATCTTTTAAATCTCACGATTATTTCAAATTACACTTTTTTACATTACCGCGGTGCACCGTGTATAAAATAACTGGAATCTCTTTAATGTAATAAATTTACGACGGAATTCTCCATTTTAGGAGTCCGATTCACAAAACTAGAAGTTTTGTGGTCCGATTATGAGTTTTTTTTCTGACATATGACAGTTTGTGTTTGTTTATTTATCTGTTTGAGCATTTTTGGTTTGTTTAATAGCGTTATTTTGTTCTTTAATAGCGCTTATGGTTTGTTCTATGCGTTTTTGTTGTTTAATAATTAAATCTTGCAAATAATTAAACGTTATAGCTGGCGAAAACGATAGTCCGCCATTTGTGGCGACTAATTGGTTAGCCCCCTGTGCGATCAGCTATTTTCTTTGATTTATATCTTCCTGAGGTTTTTTATTCAATGATAACAGCAAATCGACTAAAATGGACTCCTTAATTACAAAAATCTATTACCATTAAGAATCTCGTTATCTAGTAGGTAGTACCCACCAGTTAAAAGTAACATAGCACTCCATCGAAAAAACATACAAAGCTTTTTAATTCAAGTTACAGGAATCTGCATTTTTTACAATTAAAATTTATTTATTATATTTTTTTACTACCCACGTAAAAACTGTGCAAATACTAAAAAATTAGTAATGGTTAAAAGATTTAATAAAAAGTCATAAATCGACTATGTCCACCATAAATATCAAAATTATCCGTTAAAAAATTTCGTTTTGTTAAAATTTTAATTTATGGATCATAATATTGTAAGTAAAAAAAATCAAAGTCTTCTACCTATAATATATTATGTTTCCACGAAATATCCCAATTTATTAGGTTACAAGATTTTGACAATGAGTGAAGAATGCTTAATTACTGATTTAACAACAAACAATAATGTGATTCAGTTTTAGCAAAAAGTTTTCAAAATAAAAGATTTAATTAAAAAAATGAACAGTCAAGTTCAATAAGAGACCAACCCCAAACGCCCGAATCTAAATCTGATAATTTTAATTTCTTTAATACCAACTATTTTTTGTTTTGCTTAAACAAATTTGTTTTTTAAAGTCAGGAAATTTCCTGTTTGTTGTTTTTTGTTTTTGTTTTATTTATTAGAAACTGGCCAAAATTTCAGCGCTTATTTAAATTATAGTATAACATCGACGAAATACGGGATCTCACGATTTCTCAGGATTTTTTTGCCGCCGACCTCACGAAACTAATAGCCTGCCATCTGGGATGCCTGCTCGGCAGTTAATTTCGAACTCTTGAAGAGGTAATACATAGAAACCGAGACCTCGCTTAAAACCATAATTTTGCAACCCACAATAAACTACTCCCACAGTGAAAAATAAACTATAATAATTGTATCTACAGTGAATTAAAGGCTACCTTACGGTTACGGAAATAATAGAGTGTAAAGTGATAAGTGACAGCATACCTGGCGGAACAAACGAACCTAATCAAAAGTTGAAAGGGGCATCACCTGCAAATATTTAATAAGTACTCTGAACTGACTGCATGACCTAATACGGAAATTTTCAACATTAACCACGTTTAGGTACAACCCTAAGAGCGGTTCTTTCCCTTAAATACAACCCTAGTAAAATAAAACAAAAAAAACAATGTAAAACAAAGAGCAACAGCAACATTAATAATAAGAAAATAGTAACAAAACAATATAAAAAACAATAAATCCAAGAAGTCCCAAATTTTATCGCTGACATAGCTGAGCAAGACAAAATTATTTATTTATTTCTTTAAAGGGAAAACTCCATTACAATATAAAACAGTATATATAAAGGTTATCTCCTACAAAGTAGACAATTACAGTTAATCAATAATTATTCTAAAAATAACAATTCATTTAGCAAATAGTTAACAATAACAATAAAAAATAACAATTCATATAGCACAAACTTAACAAATAATATTGAAATAGAGATCCGCAAGTTAGATTATTTCAATTAAAGTTCTCTTAAAGGATCGAAAAGCACCCCTAAAACATCCAGCCTCTCCAAAAAAGAATGTTTACCAAAATTAGTCTATTCATTATGTCTGGAGTAGTAAACAGAGTCTTGTGCGATGCTCGGGAGAGATGAGGCAATGGGGCCGGTTAAAAGACTCTTATACTCATACTCAACTAACTTGGCTTAAATCGACCTATTTTTGCGCCAGGAGTCTGTCATTAAACGTATAGACCTTTTATTTATATAAATACAAAGTTCTATTCAGTGCATTCGATACCGGCGAAGCGAGTGGATGGGTAGTTCGAGCGCTCAGTGCCGATCCACAATAAAATTATTAAAGAAACATTAACTATTATATACAGTGTAGTCGAGTAAAGTACGGTGCGAAACAGTGCTACTATTTTGGGTTACTATAGTATGTATACATACCTGTACAGGTGAAATCAGGGTACCTGTTCTCCGAGGGGTTAATAGAAACATTAAATAATTCCTCAAAAGGCAATCTCTCAACGGTGAACATAGGAGTGAGGTTCGTGCGGACACGAAGTAATAAAGTGACAGGGGACAGGTCAAGGAATCACCTATTTAAAGAAAAAAAACGTCTAACAAAGAGCGAAAGGGATCCTCACCATCACCAGCAGACTCTGATAAGTATTATTGCATGAACTAATACGCAAATCTGTAAAAAAAACCTGGCAACAATTAACCATTGCCGAAAACAGCGTGTGTGAAAAGGGATCAAGCAGGAACGTCGCAATATTATATTATTGTATTATATATATTGTATAATATACGCAACTTAGCTCAGCCACAAAGCAAAGCTTGAAGGAAGGCGAAGGTAAATAAACAAAGCGCCCACGCAAATAACGTAAATAAACCATCTATTGAAGCATACGTTACACGTCTGACACTGGGACCGTATTTCAGATTTTAATGCGATGCACCACAGGGCCGGCTTATTTTGTATTAATTTAGTTTTAAATTAAATTTGGAAAAAAAGTAAGAACGCAAAGACACAAATTAAATAATAATAAACGGTATAAGCACTAATTTAACAACAAAATAAATAGTTCACCAACAAGGACAGGTTCTAGCAGCGTACTAACACCCCGGCTCAAAAAATACAAGAACAGCACAGAAGAAAGGAGAACGACCAATAGCCAATGCAGACCATATGGTGGCATTCCACCACATACACTACAGGGCCGGCTTTATCGATTTTGTATATTAATATTTATATTTTTAAATTAAATTTGGAAAAAAAGTAAGAATGCAAAGATATAAATTAAATGAAAACGGTATAAACACTAATTTAGCAATAAAATAAATAAAGAGTATACAAGGTTGGTAGCCGGAGTAAGCAAAGAACTAACATACCCACCCCCATTCACGAATACCAATTGAATGGGGTTACTACTAAGGCCCAGGTTGAGGAGGATTCCGGATTGTACTTAGTTTTGGGTCAGTTCAATGTCCTCCAAAAACCCTTCCTAAACTGGACGTATGGCCCGACCCGGCTGACAAAAATCCCGGGAGCGGCCTTAACCTTTGACACTGTCATCCACAACCTCCTAGGGTGGAACTACCAGCCGGCGTAAAACTTCGGATCCAACAAACACAGGTAATGCTGTGATTTGGCGGGATACGCAGGAGAACGGAAAGGGGGTAAATAGCCCCGGGAGATTAGAGGATGACAATATATCTGGGGCCTGCCATACGTTCCCATACTCATACTCATACTCATACAAAGTTCTATTCTATAATAAATTTTATCTACTCCTATTGCATAATTTTGTGTTTTTTCCGTGATTGATAAACATTATAAATTCAAGGTTAATAATAAACTCATTATTCACGTTGTTAGACATCAGTGATTGGCCGATTTCAATATTCACTGGGATTTGAACTAATGGGGTTTTAAATTGGAAGAAGGCGACTATAATTACATTTAAAATTGGTAAAAAGAAAGGTTAATAATTTTACAGATGTCAGATTTTATTTATTTAATTTTTAAAATCATTTAATTATCTACTTAATTGAGTAGATAAAGTATAGTAGTACACTCGAGTTTATGCGCATTATTCACTCGAATGATTTGAGTCTGCAAACCTCATCCTCGTGAATAATAGCCTGCATTATATCTCGTATATACTAATACTAATTAATTGCTTTGCTTTTTTTTGTCCCAAAGTAGACACCCCTTTGAAGTTTGGAAATATATTTTAATAAATATTACTTACTATAATTTTATTAATAATATCTTTACATTTTATTTAATTCAGGGCCGAGCTGTTATTGGACCAATACCGTAAAAAATCAAAACTATACAAAACGAATGTGGTACTTGCACCGCTAGGCGACGATTTTCGTTACGACCATTCCACAGAGTGGGATGTTCAATATAACAACTACCAGAAATTGTTTGACTACATGAACTCGAATCTAAAACTCAACGTACAGGCGCAATTTGGGACTTTGACAGATTATTTTGATGCTGTGCACAAGGAGAAAAAAATGGGGGAATTTCCCACCTTATCCGGGGACTTTTTTACTTATGCTGATAGGGATGACCACTACTGGAGCGGATATTATACGTCAAGGCCTTTTTATAAAAGGATGGATAGGATACTTTTGTCTTATATTAAGTAAGAACCAAGTTAGTAGAGGAATAGGTCGAAAAGATAGTTGGTATATTTTTGTACAATTAATGTGTGAAATTTTTTGATATTTTTAGGGCAGCTGAGACAATCCAAACTTTAGCTCATTTAAGTGGTAAACCTGGTTCATCTTGGATAGTTGACCCTCACTTAGGATTAGAAGGAATTTTATCAAATGCCAGAAAAGCTTTATCACTTTTTCAACATCATGATGGTGTTACAGGCACCGCCAAAGATTTTGTTGTCGTAGATTATGGAAAAAAGTAAGTATATTTCGTTAGGAGTTCGAAAAATAGGGTTTTCTAGTGCAACATATGTACCTTTTTCTTCTGGCATGACATTACAGGGTTCCCACTCACCTCGAAAACAGGGAAAATCTGGAAATGTCAGGGAAATTAGATACTAGTAAAAAAGTCAGGGAAAAGTAAGGGTATTTACTGAATTTTATGAAAAGTCAGGGAATTTGGAATTAGATACTAGTAAAAAAGTCAGGGAAAAGTAAGGGTATTTACTGAATTTTATGAAAAGTCAGGAAATTTGTTGAATTTTACGAAGTAAGAGAACTTAACTAATTTTTCTTGAAAAATATTTTTTGCGAAAATTGTATCTATTTGTACTACCGGCCGAATATTATTTTTTACAAATAATCTAGCCGCTTTTCATTCACAGGGGCATACTGCTGATTATAAATATTCCATATTCTATAGAAATAGAATAGAACATAACCTAAGAATTTGCCGCGTCTTCCGCACCTCATTTCACTACAGTGGAATATTTATAATAACGATATATCGTTATGTTGCTGAACCAATATGTGATTCCTTTCAAATTTTGTATGAATGTTTGTTCTGTTTAATTTATTTATATCAATTTAAGAATTGTAAAAAGAAAAAGAAAAATTTATTTTTACTTTACATATACTTACATTTATTTGTTTATAACTACCCAGGTAGCACAATGACGTTTGCTGACGTTTATATGACGTCTTCTGGCGTTTAAATGACGTAGGCAACGTCATTTCAACGTCAGCCGACGTCATTGTGCTACCTAAATTAGTTTGGAAAACCTGGAAAAGTCGGGGAATTTCGTTTCATTCTCGTGGTGGGAACCCTGCATAGGACTTTGAGTTTACTTTAGATTTTTTAAATCAAAACTGCACATATTTTATAAACCATCGTTTCTTAACCTCGGGTCGCGACCCAAATTTGGGTCATATCGAGATGGGTTGCGGGACTTGCGGGACTTTTTGAAAAAGCTCGCCGTAATTACTGCATCCTTAATTTAAATTAAGAAAATGTAGAAAATTGAAGATTTTATTTTTTATCGGGTTGCGAGCTTCTAATATTTTTGAATTTTGGGTCGCCAGCCAAAAAGGTTAAGAACCGCTGTTATAAACCTTACGGGATTTGGAATTATAGAGAATGCACGCGGCCACTTTTAATGTTGTAAGGCACCCTCAACATCAGAAATGTTAGAATAAAAACCCAGATATCATTATGAGGTTCATAATTGACGCATATTGCAGTCACAACGTGATTCTTAATCCGCACGTATGTCACATATATGCATCATTTGCGTCATCAATTGAGGTTCATATAGCCAGCACATGTGATGGTTAAAGAAATTTTTCTGGGCATGATTAACAGGTGAATTTTGGACTTGCATTGCCTTAATTTGATTGTTTTTCTTACGTTTCGATTAGTAAATATCTTTAATTGTCTTTAGGTATTACCTGAAGACCATTAGAGATAATTACTAAACGTTAGCTGTTAGCTGTTAATCATTCATAAAATGATTTATTAGTAGATCTTTTTCTTTAAGTCATTTATTTTAGTTTTTGTGATTGTCTACATTTATAGAAAGATATCTTATTTTAATTAAAATTAGGTATCTTTTTAGAAATTCATAAATAAATTAATGATAAATTAATTTATAAACGTTATTAAGATTAGGGCTTGCAATCCCGCAGCAAATTTTAAGTCCGAGTATTTTCAGGATTCGATATTGAAATCCCGCGGGATCTCGGTATAAACGGGATCCCTCAATAAAATTATCATTATTCCTTTTTTTTCATTTATTAAATAAACAAAGTATAAACTCAAACCTCTATGATTTATTTTAATAATTAACAACAAACACAAATAATTTTGCATTTGCATTCCAACAGCTTAAGAAGATGTCTAAAATAATATGCATTTCTTAATTTAGATGAATTTAATACAAAATAAAAAACTCTGTATTAATAAAAAATATATAATAATTTGCTGAAAATATTTGCGGAGAAAACATAACATATTTACACTATTGTCACTATGTCCGTACGTCACTAACAAGATAACCAGCAGCTGAAAAAGCTCTTTCGGCCTCGACACTTGTTGGGGTTAGATTTGAAACAAATATAGGCTAGTTCTAGATATTTTTCTCTAGAACCCCCTGATTCGAACAATCCCATTTCTTTTTTTAATATAAGATCAAAAGATTGATTAGGAAGTTGGACTGCTGGAGCTGCAGGACTACCACATACATATTATGTTTTCAGAAGTCAGACTAAACTCCAATTATTTTTGCAATGATATCACTTTCACTTTTGCGATTGATTTAGAAGCAAGAGAAAGGTCATTATCTTCTTTTGAACTAACCAGTGTGCGGTTATTTTCCCAGTTCTGTTCTTCATTGCAAAATAATCTTTCAATAAGTTTTTTTAGTTCTTGGCGTAACTTATACTTGGCTGGTAAACCAACCTCCAAAAAGGCATAATTTGTTGGATTATGTAAGTATATTAAGACAGCAGTCATTGGAGTTTGTCGCTGAGAAATTCTTTGTCGCATAGATAAAGCCATTTCTTGTGTCAGTGGTTTCTTTAGTTCTTCCAACTTACGAACCATAAATTTCAAGGTTGTTTCGGCTGTCAATAAAGTAGCATCTTGACGGCAAAGAACTTCAACCGTCAACTTTACTGGCTGAAATATATGATCTTAATCTTGTAACACGAAAAATTCTTCCTCTGTGAAACAAAATTCTGGATTTAAGCCCAGCTCAAGGTCCTAACCTTGCAAATGCACAGTTTCAGTTTATTGAACGAACTTATCATATTTGAAAGGCTATTCCAGCGTGTTCTACAATCAAACACAAGTTGCAACATAATTCTGCAGTGTCTCATTTTTTAAAGGGGATTTTCTAAACAGACAAACTATCTTTCAAATTTTTCTTATAAGATCGCCGTTCTCAAGAGATATTTCCGCTTCTTCACTTGTGGTAAGCTTAACAACAAACCCTGCATTTGTTTCGTCGTCTCCTTCATCCTCTGAACTCTTGCTGTCCATAGCATCCATATGGGTTTCACTCTCCTCAGTATTTAAAACAACACTTTTAGCTGTTTTTTGTAGATCACATCTAAAATGCCTAGCTGTAATCCATGAGCATAACAAAGTGTATGGGATGGCTGAATTAATTTAACACTAGCTCCATCACTTGTTATGGCAACAATATCCGTTTTAAGATTCAGATCAAACCCTTGAAGTTTGACTTTTAGAATGTAAATACAACGTTCAGCTGGCATACTTCCAATGATTCGAGTCAATCCTAAATTCCAGAATATGGGCCGACCTTCAGCAAATGTGTGAACGTTTAAATTTATAAAACTCCGATTTCTCGATGAAGTCCATTCATCCATGGCAAGAGAAAATCTATGATTAAAGTTCTTATCATGCTTCAGTTGAGATCTTTCACTAATATCTGTTGATTTGACGTTTGAGGCGTAGTTCATAACCATAGTACGAATTGAATTGGATGATGATGGTACCTGAAAACCCATTGACTGGAACAAATCACGTATATCTGAAAACACACTAAATGGTAATCCATCCCTAGCAACCATACGCTCTTTTCTAACGTATCGTCTCCTTTTTTGAAAAATAGTCCAACAAATTTATTTTTCTTGATTTCAACTCACTAACCTGTTTTGAGCATAATGGCTGAGGCTCAAATTTCGTCAAATCGGTATTTGAACAGACAGGGACTGCCTTCAGATTAATAGCATGTTTTGATTTTACATGAACATGCAAACCTTTTGTTGAGCGCGCTGTAGTTTTATTAATTGAATTGCACATTGAATATAAGGCGCTCACATACGTTAAAAACTCTATTAGACTACTAGCAAATACCAAAACAAAATATTACTCCCACCCTCTAACGTTAGCGCGATCTGAGATTCGACAGTCGTCGTCACTCGTCAATCGTTGAACGATTATCGTTCAGTGACTGAGCGACTGAACTTCAGTCGCTCAGCGCTTGTTGTGGTGGTCATCTCGCTAACGGACAGTCCCGCAAATCCCGCTCATATCATAGCGGGATCCGCATATCTGAAAGATGGTGCGGGATCCCGGTATACCGGGATTGCAATCCCTAATTAAGATTATAAGATCAATTCCAGTTTGGAATTCCAAATAAAATTATGTATATTTTTTATACAAATGTAGTCTACAAATTTTGTCTTTACAAATCCAGTCTTTTAACAAATTAACCATATGGTGTAAGTAAATTTTTTGAAAATTTTAGTTATAACAAGAAGTAAAATCAACAATTTTCGCAAGAAGTAGTAGATCTAGTATTACATCTACAATTTTTCGGTAACTATTTAGCAAAAGTGGAAAGTTTGCAATCATTTCGTGCCCTCATATACCAATTACGTGCGTGTATTCCCATTAATCAAAAAATGAATATAATATCACAGCGTTTTTACCGTCACGCATGATTCCGCACGAAGGGAAGGCGATGTGCGTTTTGATGCCCCTCACAGTTGTTATCTGGGAATGTGCTTATTTTGAAATTTTAAAACTTTATTTTTTTAGAATGTTACTGGCAATAAACGGATGCCAAAAAGTTCTTCAAATTTGCACCCATGTATTATTAAATGGTTATAATGCAGACACTCCCAATCTAGACATGTCTTATTACACTATAGACGATTTAATGCATTCTCATGATTCTTTAATTGAACATTCCCAAATAACCATTGGAGTTCCGTACATGCCTACTAAGAAAGTCGTAATTTTCAACCCGCTGGCATTTAAAAGAACTGAAGTGGTCAGTTTTCATGTTTCCACGCCTTTTGTTGAGGTAAGTAAATTATCGAAATTTTTTGTTATTTTTTTATTTATGTAATTATTAATTTTAAAATGACTGAGTAATACTCAGTGAGTATGCTTTATGCTTAAAATTCTGTTTTGATGGAATTATTTTAAATTGCTCAATAAATAAATTACTTTTTCCATTTGTATACTATAATGGCAACAGTATGATACATGGCAAGAGTATGATACGCAAATACCTATTCTTTACTAGGCTCACTGCTTCCAGCTCGCCCGTAAAGATTCATTTACAAAGCTTGACACGGAAATAACTCGTCATAAGACATTTTATCTCCACGCGGTCTATAATTAAAACTTTATTGTTGTCAACATTAGATAAAGAAATACCTTGTTATGGCCTAGGCCGATAAAAATTTTTATGAGGCAAGTAATTAGTTCGATTTTTTCTCGCTAGGGGTATTGTTTTGACAAATTAATCCTTTTTTAATTAACGTACTAAACTGGTTTAATTTATTTATAATAAGCACTAATTTGTTTGTTTTACCTACTGTTAATGTTTAATATTTTTCATTAAATTATTGTAAAATTAAATATGAATAATAAAACAAAAAGTAAGGTTAGGCGATTCTTTTTCTACGATTTAAATTATCTTTAAGTTTTAATTTGCTTTAAGTTTTCAGTGAAATTAAATGTTAAACACAGCTTAAACATTGCAAACTACCTATTTTTAAATAAAAATCCAAACAAATTGAAATTAGATACCTACATATTTATTAAACAATTAATTGAATTCAATGTAATAGCAAAAATCATGTTGCTAGGTATTTTCAAACTATTACTGCTTCTAAAAGCAATAATAATTATTGTACATTTAATGTAATCTTTAGCTAATAAATAAATGAGATTCTAAAAAAAGTGAGGTTAGGCCGCTTTATTGTTGAATTAAATTGACCTATATAAAGTGCTTTGAATATAAAATGTTGTATGCCATTCGGCCAAGAAGTGCCTTTTGGTGCTTCGCTCAATTGTAGGCCTCCGCTACGCGTCGGCCTTCAAACCTTGAGCTTAGCACAAAAAGCCTTACTTCTTAACCTAATGACATAAATAACTATTATTGCACTCGTCCATTACAAAACTGGTTTCTTTGTCGCTCGTTTTGTGAATTGTTCATTAGGTCATACCAGTTCATTATTGTTTTTATTACTTAGTTACCAACAATATAATAGTGAACTTCTTTATGTCACGCACGGGCATAAAGGCATTTTCTGAATGCAATAATAAACTAGTACAACATTAAAGTTTGTATGCACCGCGGGCCACCGGAGGAACGAGGGTTTATTTATAGTTGCCCTCAGGGCAAAAACATTTAATAAATACCCTTGGTACATAATAGTTATTTACGAGTCAAGTTTGTGGGGTGACCGACGCAGGAGCGAACCCCATAATCCAGTAAGCCTAGTAAAGGTTAATTGCAAAGCGTGACACGTAAAAACTTTTATTTTTACCTTTAGATAACGATTTTTAAATTTAAAATTTGTCAAATCTGACATTTCATTTCATAAATTGCTTTTCTGCAAGCCTGTAAAACTTTACAGGTCTTTTATACAAGCCCGTAAAATATTGCTGATCTGTTATGTATCGTTTACTTGGATACAAAAACAACAAAATTAACCTATAAAATGTCATTTACTAAGAAGGTGGAAATAAATAATTATGATTATTTTAGGTGACAGATGGACAAGGTAAAACAATAGACTGTCAACTTTCTCCGGTGTTTGAATATGGGCCGGCAATTTCACAAACAAAATATCAATTGCACTTTGTGGCAACAGTGCCTGCTCTTGGATTGGCTGGTTACACTATTAGGGCGCTTGAGGAAAGTGACATTCCAAAGTAAGTTTTTATTCAGCAATATTTTCTTTATAGGGTGTCCCAAAAACTTGGCACTAAAGCCTGATTTATAGATTGCCTTCCTTCCTTCCTTCCTCCCGTGAAAGATGAACAATGGTTTGGAAGGTTTACTCGGCTGGCGCTTTTTGTAATAGTTCTACGTAATTCACGATAAGCCCAATTGAAGTAATATTAAAGACAATTCATAATATACCACTTAACTTGTTAGTTACCAAAAAGCACCATTGATCAGCGTTGCTACTAGGATATTTATCGAGGCACATGATATCAAAAGACAAGCCACATTTAATCAAAACGATCTATTCTCGAATCGTGATTTTAGTCTACCGTGGCGCTACATAGGAAAGCTTCCAGAAAAATGTTGAAACTATTGACATCATTAACAATTCACCTATTATATTATATTCAGGAGCTTTAACTCCGCATGAGAATATATAGGAAACGCGTCTCTTGACAGCGGGATAAAGGAGGGGAAGTGTACAATGCGCACAAATGATTATAATCATTTTAATTATTAATCAACCGCACATAGACCGTAAAATCACGTGACTGACTCCATGTGCACGCATTGGTTGGAAGATTGACAAGCACTTTTGGGTTTATTTACTGTTAGCATTTTCATTTGAAACATATACACTCGAGTGATCCCCAGTGAACCCGATCGCCCCTCCCTAGATGCATTGTAAGCGGATTGCCGTAGGCGTCGCCTGGTATACCAGGCGACGATTATTTTTTGCATTTTCTATTGTGTATTTCGAGCGTTTTAACATAAATTGATTCCTTTTATTTAAAAATATAAGTTATAATGTCCTACACATTGCAAGCTGGTCTTTAGTGGGAAATAATCTACGTCAAACAAGAGACCTATGCTCAGTTTAAAATCCAGAACGTTCTATTTCGTCAATTAGAACAATAACAAACGTTATCCAAAGGTTTAAATTTATTTATTTATTTATTTACATTTATTTTAAGAAGTTTGATTTTTAGTTTTGTTTTAAGAGAATTGATTTATTTATTTTAATTTTTTTTCAAAAGAATTATTTTATTTTAGTTTTTAAAGAGGATTTTTATGTTTAAACGTTTTTTTATAAGAAAATAAGAAAACACTTTTAGTTAAATGCAAAACAAATAATGATTTTACACCTTTAATTAATAATTTACTGTTAAATCTGATTACGTTACATTTTAAGTACCTTAATACACCTAAAAGTAAAAATTAATTTAATAATGCGTAATTCGTATTAATAATCCAGAGCAAACTTCGACATCACCACACGCCGTTGAAGGGTTCACTACCGAATTACGAAACCCGTCTCTCGGGCGTCTGGCACTCTTAAAAATTATTCTCCCACTCTTAAAAACCGAATGCGGCCTGTGTAGAGGAAAAATGAAAATACGGTATATGTTTTAACAATTTTTATGTTATATGTTTTTATACATGTGTCAGCACCAATTAACCATATATCGTTTCTGAACACTTTTAAGACCTATGACAAACCGTAACTTTTGCTAAAACCAAGCTATTATTACAAATATAATTATTATTCCAGAGAAACCCACTTTGCCGCAGTAAAAATCCTCAACCACTACGACGACATAGCCGCCCCGAAGTCCTTCCATATTGAGGTTTTGCCCCAATCAAGCGAATTCACGCTGCGCAACGAGCGCATCACCGCCTCCTTCAACGAACTAGGTCTCTTAAAGGCCATTAAAACGAAAACGGACGGCAACGTCGTACCTGTGCATCTTGATTTCGCAAAATATGGAGTGCGCAATCGCAATGAAAGAAGCGGCGCCTACCTATTTTTGCCGGACGGCGACGCGATACCACTAGATGTGCAAAGTCCTACTGTGAATCTTATAGAGGTGAGTTGTTTTTTATTATACCTTTCTAAAAGTACTGTATGGATGCATCACAAAGTCTACATTCGCCATTTTGATATTTTTTAACTTAACGTTTTATAATCCCAAAGATTTATAATTTATTAAAAAACGTAGTTTTTTTCCAGCAAATCTGAAGGGAAATAAAATATAATGTTCCTTTAAAATTTTACTTATTTGCCCATTAAATAATAAAAAAAGTCAGTCGCGTTGTAGGTGGTGGTTATACGATTGTATTACAAAGATCGCAATTTTGAAAAAAACCTCATTTTCTCCCGGTTAAAATTCACTTATATACAATGTATATTATACATCATTGAAAACGTTAGGACCAATAGTTTACAAAAAAGACAACTTTAATTTATTATTTAAGTATTAAAGCTTGTATACTCTACAATGTAGAGGTTAAAGCAGTAGCGTGTCAAATTTTTTAGGGCCCCCCCCGCGAACTTTTTTTTGAGGCCCCCTATGTCACTATTATATTTTCCAAAAATAACCCATTATAGTAAATATTTATACACAATATCATTATCTAATACTTAAAAAACACAGCGAATTTTTGAAACTAAATACTCATTTTAATATTTTAAATATCAACTCAAAACTCAAACGTAACAAGTGAAACAACAAAGACTCGCTAATAACCGGAAATTCCTATTAAAACGGGGAATAACCTATGGGAATCACTGAGGTTTCGACCAGCCAGGGTTGACAATTGTTTTGGCGTTCACATTTTTTATGTTCGAAAGAAATGGTGACAAATTAAATTTGGATTTGAAATGTTTAAATGTGCATATTTGTATTTTTGGAGTTTGTTTGATATACATAGGTATTACTTTTTCTTAGAGTATATTGGGGGCCCGGGGGCCCCAAATATACCGGGGGCCCCCCCGCGTGGCGGGGTCTGCGGGGCCGTTTGACACGCGCCTGGGTTAAAGAAAGTTGCCTTTTTTAATGAAAATAATTTTACGTGCTTCTTCCCATTATCTGAGAAAACTTACGACTTTCGTTTTTTCTACCTTTTTAGAACTATATTGTAAAATGTTTGTGCAAGGATTTTTCTGCAAAATCTGATTTTTACTTTTTATAACAAGACTTGTTATCAAAACTAAAAACATAGTGACGCGCTAAAACAATCCATAAAAAATCGACTTTGCCGAAGGATTACATGGATACTAAACTTAATCCGCCAAAACCTTAGGACACATTGAAAGAATAATTCATTACCATTTAATTAAATAAGAAGGCTTTTCTGTGCGGACACTATAAGGACACTACAGACAGAAAACAGAACAACGTAACGTAACGCCGACGCGTAACCAGTTTGGACGCCTCTCTGCAACACCGCAACACCTTTGCGTTACAGTGTCTTGTTCTCTGTTTGTCTTTATGCGACTCGACGCACTATGTCGTAAACAGAGTGATTAGGTGACCAAAAATATTTTTGTTGAAAAACATATTGAAAATGCTTTTTTGTTATACAAAAAGATAATTTTTAATAAACCATTAACCATTAGTTAGGATTAAAAGAAGCTAAGTACAGGGTGAACCACGTAAGATAACCCATATGCCTATCTCAGAAACAACTGTAGTCATGAAAAATTTGCAGGGAACAAAAATATTTGAATTAATACATATTTTTTAATGTTGTAATTTAATTTATACAGGGTGTTCAATCTTTTCTGGGACGATACCAATTTTATTATTTTCGATTTTTACAACTTTTTATTCTACGTAGTTTTTTATGTTTTTAATGGCCTTTTGCAGAGCTAAAAGGGATTCCGCACTTGTACTCTTATCCTGTTAAAGTTTTCTGTTTAGATACCTCATCTGCCATTCATTTTTCTCAAAGCCGTTAGATTGCTAAATTTGGGTATTTGAAATGGATGTTGTTAGCAAGAAAGTTAAGAAGTTATTTTTATAGCCAATTGGCTATAAAAATTAGTTTTAAATTAATATATATTTATTATTTTTATGTTTTTAATTAAATTTAAGGCGTCAGATTTAAAAAAAACTCGTAAAATAAAGACAAAAGACAAAAATGAGCTCTAATACACATATTTTGACATAAAATCAAGTGTAGCCAAGTTTCTCAACATTTCCCGTCAAAATCCTTAATAACGACCATTATTCATATATTAACAAACACTTCCACACACAAAAGAAATTGGGGCAACCTGGGGCACCATTACTATTTGCAAAAAGTTTGCTTGAATTCACGTTAAAAAAATGACAAAATTTGAACGGCTATTACTATATATAAAATAAAATATTTTTTTAATTTTTAACGTTATACCTTAAAAGACATTTATTTTAAAGCAATCTACCAAATATATCTCCTGTTAATTATAATTTAAAGTTTTAATCGCATATTTACCAAGCGCGAGTTATTTATATAAAAAAATGTGTTTGTGCATTGTTTTAAAATTTTATACGTCACGGTCCTTATTAATATTTTATAAATAAACAAATGGTTGTACATTGTCAAGAAAAACATAATGATCAATTTTATGTATATTTTTTTGCTGTAAGGGCAACTTCAGAAATCCATTTTTGGTCACCTATACAGGTTAAAAAAATCACAAAAACATTTTGATGATTACCGAACCCCCCCCTTTAACTTGGTAATTTATACACTATCTCCCATAGAAAAAGTATATCTCCAGAAATATTTGTCCAATTTGTTTGTCGGACGTGTACAATGACCAAGAAGGCAAAATTGAGTTGTGCGCATGTAAAAACCAATCGTTGACCAACCGCGCACGTGCATTTAGTCACGTGAGTCGACGGGTTATGCGCTGTGGCTTTGTCCGCATTGTACGCCGCTCCTACCGAGCGACGCTTTTTCTATCTCTTCGCATATGCGCAGTTGAAGCTCCTGAATATAATCTTCTTAGGTACATGGTTTCAAAGATGTATAAATGAATTATATTGTTTTTATTTCAGGGTCGCATTTTTTCGAGTGTGACGTTGCAGTTGCCATATGTGAGGCATACGGCCACGCTGTACGATAGTCCAGGTGCTGATGGACTTGGTTTGGAGATTGAAAATATTGTGGATATTAGTACCACTAGTAATTTTGAGTTGGTGATGCGGCTGTCTACGAATATTGAGAGTGGGGAGGAGTATTTCACTGACGTCAACGGGTATCAGGTAATAATAATATATAACTTATAGTTATAGGTATATGAATAATAATAATAAACTTTATTGCGTAATATACATAATATACAAAACACAATGGGTGTAAGCTCAGCATAGCTGGTCTACCGCTTAAACCATAACTTAGGTTGTGTTCCGTAATTTACTGTCAGAACTGAAAACGCATTCCGAAATCCACTTTCAGTTACTGAGCTCAGTGGTAAATACTACCCTTTTATAAATGTACGGCAGATTAATTTTACTGAAACAACTGGTGACAGAGAGGTGCTGTGGCTCCAGTAAAACACATAACCAAACTTTTAAACAAAAAATAGCTGTCAAATGCGTACTCCCCGGCGACCTGCCTTCGTCACTGCTGCTTGTTCTTTCAAGTAATATTTTATCAATAAATATTGAAATAATTAGTCCAATAGGTATTCACCAAATACCATTATATGATATAATTTATATCCTTTACTTTATTTGACAGTTATTTTTTGTTTAAAAGTTTGGTTATGTGTTTTACTGGAGTCACAGCACCTCTCTGTCACCAGTTGTTTCAGTAAAATTAATCTGCCGTACATTTATAAAAGGGTAGTATTTACCACTGAGCTCAGTAACTGAAAGTGGATTTCGGAATGCGTTTTCAGTACTGACAGTACTGACAGTAAATTACGGAACACAAGCATAATGGTATTTGGTGAATACCTATAGGACTAATTATTTTAATATTTATGGATAAAATATTACTTGAAAGTACAAGCAGCAGTGACGAAGGCAGGTCGCCGGGGAGTACGCATACTAAGACCCAGAATATGAAACTACCTACTAGGTAGTACCTAGAAAATGTTGTATATTTGTATTCAGCGAGTATTTTTGGGTATTTGGCGTATTGTTGTGTCAGTGAAATTTTTTATTTCCTATTCCTATATACATTTTTCGACGCGGACGACGATAACATTAAATTTTCCATATTTCCAACCCAACCCAACATTATATTTCTTATAACTGTTATATTTATTTTTTATTTATCTTCTCTGCTGTGCCGAAAGTAAAGTTTGTCAATTGTCAGTAAATCACAAATCATAACCTTGCATAACCATTGTCACTTTCTGCTGCTACTGAGGCGCGTTCCAATTTTACTATTGCGCCAGTACTGAATAAATTACGGAACGGTCTTTTTTCGCTACTGACAGTAAAGTTATTGATAGTAATGGCAGTAAATTACGGAACACAACCTTAGAAATAAACAAATCGTCACCTGAGAATTATAGTGTTCTATCTGCATTTTCTTTTTTTTATTCAGGTTAGTCTTGTTTTAAGTCTTAAAGATGATATTGATCTATCTATATATAATTGGGGTAGAAATTGTAAAGTTTAAGGCTTAAACTGTACAATTTCTACCCCAATTATATATAGATAGAACAATATGCATCTTTAATACTTAAAACAAAACTAACCTGAATAAAAAAAAGAAAATGCAGATAGAACACTATAATTCTCAGGTGACGAAATATAAAAATAAATATCAGGTAACAAACAAATTTAAACAAATATTTCTTTGGTTGATTAAACTTTGCTTTTTAAGGTCTTTTTTAAATGTTATCATAAAGACATCTAAAGAAAAAATATTTAAGTTTTCATTTATAAATTTAGGAGCCAAATATTGAAAACAATTTTGAAATTTAGCAGATTTATGCTGGGGAATTGTATAAAAATTGGTTTGTCTTAAATTAACATTGTGCATGGCGGACCTTTGTTGCAATAAAATAAATAAATAAGATGGTTTTTAAAACATTAAAAATTAAAGTGCTCAATTGACAGTTAAAAACATATTCGCATTTTAAAATATTTAGACTTACATAAAATGGGGTTACATGATCTCTATATCTAACATTAAAAGAAAACCTTAGACAACAATTTCGAACTTTTTGAACAGACAACAGCAATAGTTAAATAAACTTAAAACAATACTATTACATAGTTTCCATTTCAAATCACAACTTAAAATGTTTTTATAACAATAAATTGACTTAAATTTAATAAATGCACATTTTACAAGACTAGTTGTTTTTCATAATTTAAATGACAGTCAAAGTAAACACCCAAATTTTAACAGCAGGAATCCAGTTTTATTACAGATTTATCAATTAGTATATCACAGTTTATTAATTAGGTTTAAAGCTTTATTTCGTACTAAACGAGTTCCAGCACACATTCCTTGGGTTTTTTTGGATTTAACAAAAGTCCGTTTGCTTTTGACCAGTTGGATATGGTAGATATGGTATTGTTAATATTAATGGGAGAACAAGACTTGTACAACTGCGTATCATCTGCATATTGATGTATTTTGCAGTGTGAGATAATATTGTGCATATCCGTCGTAAAAATTGTGAATAAAAGAGGCCCAAGAATACTCCCTTGTGGTACTCCTTTGGTGACTGTTGCTAGATCCGATATCATCCCATTTAAGTAAACATATTGGCTTCTTTCTGATAGATAGTTTTTAAACCACCATACAACTTCTTCACTAAATGAGTAATAGTGTAGCTTGGCTCAATGATTTATAACATCAAAGGCCTTGCTATAATCAAGTAAAATAAGAAGTGTGATTTTAGAATTGTCCATAATAAATATGTTGTTTGTTTAGCTGCTAGCAGGGCTAGATGCACCCGTGGACGAGTTTTGGTTCGTGCCGCGCATGACATCACTCGATGAGTAGTTGCCGCGCGAATACACGAAAACATTATCAAAGAAAATAGAGAAATATCTGGGAAAAGTGCGTTTTCTTAAAACTTGGTATTAGAGAAAGTGTTATAATATGAATGATAGATGCTTTCAGTCCACGATAACATTTAGGGCTGTAGTTTAAGAGTTGGTATTTTAAATTAAACTTATATTCACTGTCCAGAAAATGGTTAGAGCAAACAGCGGTCTTAACGTTAATATTGTTTATTTTTGTTGTGGCATGTAACCACTGTTTGCACAACTCAAAGTTTATCGGGTTTTTCTTGGACTGTCCGAATTTCATCCAAATACGCCACACCGCATTTTAATAAATGCAAATGGCACAACACAAACAAAACAAGTTAACGCAACACAAAAACAATAATAAACAAACAGAATAGGTTAACACAACGCAATAAAAATAATTTGAACACTGAAAAGTAATTCTAACCTTACCGAACGCAAAAACAAGTTAAACAAAAAAACAGAGCAAGTTAACATCCAACAGCATCGCAAAAACCAGAATTTTAGCAGCAGATAATTAAAACGCACGTTACAGATTTAAAGATACTCAACGAATGACGTGTTTTAGCCCCGCCCAACATGCGCACCATCCTATCTTAAGGTATTCTGAAGTAAGTGACTCTACTTAATCTATACTTTAATTTAACTTCTTAAGGATTATGTTAAAAGTATATAATATATCAAGTTTTATAAATGCCATTTTAGTTACGAGTTTTATTAGGCACGAGCGAAGCTTGAAAGCGAATGTTTAAAAAAATTATAAAAGTTTGTAAAACGAGTTGCATACTATACTTTATCTACGACGAACATAAAGAAGAATTGAAAGCCATTTTATATTTTTTAATATTTGATATCTGTTAAATGTCAACGAATTTAACCTCACTTTTTCCCAATTTATGATAAAGCTAACAGCCCGTGACTAAAATGCACAAAATCCATTATTGCTAACTTCAGCCCGTGAATAAAACGCCATACAGTCACTGTCAATGTAGGAGTAGATAAAATATTATTATTATGGGACACTTGTACCATATGCAGAACTTCATATAGAAAATCATTACAAAACAAGGTAGATTCAATTTATTCTTATTAAATTATAGATAATGCGAAGAAAACGCTTCAAAAAAATCCCTCTCCAAGCAAACTACTACCCAATCCCCACGATGGCATACATAGAAGATAAAAAAACACGAATATCGATAGTGACAAGCGGACCTTTGGGTTGCGCATCTCTAAACCCCGGTCAAATTGAGGTTATGCTCGACAGAAGACTGAACCAAGATGACAACTTAGGCCTTGGTCAAGGAGTCATGGACAACAAACCTACCAGGCACACTTTCAGGGTGATTTTGGAGAAACGGGAGAACCCTGCTTGCAAAGTAAGTAACGAAATTCTGGGTCAATTCAGGGAAAAGTATTGTTTCTACTTGCGTATCATTATATATCATTTGCTTTTCATAATATCTCATTACGATACGCAAATAGATGTGGGATTTCTTTTTTACAAATTTTCAAACACGATTTCATTACCATGGATACTTGTGACATGATAGTCAACTTTGTTAAAAAAGCCTGCCATTTATCATAGATTAATAGCCATCTACTGCGCTGCTAAAACAATAAATATTATATTTTGTCCTTTATACTTAATATTGTACATATGGGGGTTTTACTTAGCACGGCAGTATTGACTCCCGGTTATGGGCGGTGCTTTCTCGTGACGTTATCTTTTCTTTTCTATAGCCATAAAGATCAAATTAAACGAATTTTGATTGATCAGGTAAAAATCGAGTGTGTTTAACCCACCCCTTGCGAAAAAAATGTCTAAATTTTGGGCATTAATGCCTAACTTTTAGGCATTAATGCCTAAAAAGTTAGACATGATTTTGAGTACCTAACTTAGGCATTATGCTTAACTTGGGAATAATGCCTAACTTAGGCATTATGCTTAACTTGAGAATAATGCCTAACTTAGGCATTATGCTTAACTTGGGAATAATGCCGAACTTAGGCATTATGCCTAATCGATTCAATAAAACTATTCATTTAATAACAGGGGTGTATTTTTTATGTCGGTATATTTATTTAAAAAAATGAGTAGCCAAGCGCTTTCGTCATTTAATCTAATGACATCATCCGGGCTAGCCCTGAAACGTAAGTAAACATTAAGCCTGAATTATAGATTGCCTTCCTTCCTTCCTTCCTTTCTCCCGTAGAAGATGAACATTACGTAATTGTCACCATTAACATTTCCCGTGTAGGAATTTTTAATACTTTGTGATAATATTTTGCAATTATAGTAATAAAAAAAATCAAAGAATAAAATATTTTCTTAACAAAATTATATTTTGAAGTTATTTTAATATTTTAAATAATAATCAATAATTGTTAAGTTTAATTAAAATTAATAACGGGCAATGTTAATGGTGACAATTACGTCAAAAATGTTTATTTAAATCGTAGTGCCAGTTATAGATTTCCGTATCGTAAGGACGACATTCCTTCCTCCCGTAGAAATTTTTAAGTTTTATCTTTCACCGTAAAGGTCTTTGACATGACCAATCACAGTGCTTGTTATGGACATGCGCTGTAGGGTGACAGCGCGTAGACACAAAATATTTTTTCGCCCAGCACATATAAAAATGAATCATATCAAACCTAAAAATATGACCGAAAATAATATTTATGCACGATGACATTATAATATGACAATTATAACAAAAATTCTTTGACGTAAACGTCTTTTTATAGCCCGCGGGCTTTATTATGGCCCAGCGGGCTATAATGAAACGTCAAAAATTAAAAACAACAATGTTACACCATTTGATATATTCGAAGTAAGTTTTTTCGTATAAAGATTTTGATTTTTCCGGCAGAAGGCCGCAATTTTTCGCCTTTTCAGCTGCTTCCTCAATTTCATTTATCTTTAAACTTTAAAACTGACTGATGTCAGTTGACATTATAATATGACAATTATAACAAAAATTCTTTGACGTAAACGTCTTTAAAAACAATAATATATTAAAAATAATAATATATTAATCGTGCATAAAGTTTTGTATGCATTGCTGGCATAACTGGTTTTTATGGTCCTACGACGCTTTTCTAGCCCTCGCGCTAACGCGCTCGGGCTCGAAATAGCGCCTCGGACCATAAAAACCTTATTATGCCCTTAATACATAAATAACTATTATCGTCCCTAGGGCCGCTAAACTTGATTATTTCACAATCTAGACACCTTTGACTGACATTTATGTATTTTGACATTTGAGATTTTCAGACGTTTGTGTAAATCAAAATAAAAACGGACAACAAAAGTATAAAATAACAATAAAACCTAATTTAAATTTTGTAATAAAGTAAAAATGAATGGTAACTCGGACAGTGACGAAAAATTTACGAATACTTGACCAGATTTGAAAAAGACAATGCGTTGCAACGGTACGAAAAGTGCTATGAATTATATAAAAACTGGAAAAAGGATCAAAAACCCAAAAACTTAACAGAAAATGTATTAGTTGCTTATCTATCGGAAAGATCAAAGATAATTCTAATGAAACATCAACTTCATCTGTAGAAATAAGCCTTCAAATTCTGGTACTATCCACAATTGTGATCAAGGCATAATTAACATTAATTACAACAATAAATAAATTCGTAAATTGTTACTGAAGTTTTTTATAAAATTCCGTTTATATTAATACAATTTAAAAAAATATGCTAGGCGAAAAACAGGTGTGTGTCACACATTCAGAAAACGCATTAGCAGCCCTTAGCTATCAACTGCCCTCGCTTCGCTTCGCTCGCTCAGGCAGTTAATAGCCGCGAGCTGCTAAAGCTAGTTTTCTGCCCTTGAGACACAATATAGGTACTATAAAATACATGATTGTTTAGTATTATTTAAGGTAGGTTTTCAATTTATTAAATAATTTGTGTCTCTAAATAGGATATTTAGATATTGTTTATGATCAATGTCTTTCATTTTTAGAAACGTTGCTTTGTAAAACCCCGTAGTTTCCCGGTCCGGTTCGATGTTTTTCTCATTATACTGCCCTACTATGAAGAAAGGCAGTAACTACAAATGCGTTTTCTTGTGCTATGATAAAGCTATGGACATTTTGTATCTTAATTCAACAAAGAAATGCAGTAAACTATCTTTTAAGTTAAATAAATCAGTTAAATACCTACTGCTTTTTATAAAAATGTAGTTTATGCTAATTTCCCACAAATTTCTTGTCTAGCAGTTACTGCCTTTCTCGATAGTTGGGCAGTATACAACAAGCTGCCTGGGCAATTAAAATTGTGATCACTGCACTAATATATAAATGATTATCTTTCATATTTACACACAAAGGGTAAAACCACAGACCACAGGTCTGTGGGTAAAACGCATAATATAAACAAAAATAAATGTCAACCATTTTAGGTGTCATCGCGCATGGTTACGGAATTTTACACGGAAATCTATAAATTGACTTTTTACAAGACGCACAAATCGTACGGGCACGACTACGGGAGGAAGGAAGGAATGCAATCTATAATTTAGGCTTTAGTTTCAATAGGTGGGTTAAAATTTTTTACTTACTTGTCAAGGCGAGCTTACATTTATATGTAGCAGTGAACATAAGTTGAAAAACGTATAGCCCTGAAGGGAATTTAACATAACAAATTTTTCATTTTATCTTTTACAGAAAAACCACGTTAATTTTGACGTTTAACTAGTGCCAACTTCATAATCTTAAAATTAGCGGGTAATTTAAATTAACTTAACTAATAAAATCAAATACAGTAGTTACAACTCAAAAAGGTTATTTAAAAAATAAGCAATGGTGGGGGGAGGACGGAATCAATAAATGTTTTTTTTCATCATCAATCATGAAATGCTTATAGGAAATGTTTAAATAATGGTTTAAATTTCTATTTAAATTAATTTGTGAGTACAAGCATTGTTCAGGTTTATTTTTGAATGAGTTGGATATTTCCAAATCTTCAAATAGGTCTAGTTTAAGGCTGTATTTGTTGAGATCTAGGTTATGTATGATTCTTGCCTTCGATGCTGGGCGGAAGGAGTGGGAGTTGTATGGATGTCCGAATGAGGATGAGCTTGGTCTTTGAATATATTCTTTTACTTATTACATATTAGACAAAAAAGTAGCATCTACCAGTCATATATATGCCCAAAATAGGTATTTAATCTCAACACATTGAATCATTGAATTCACATACCAAATTTTTGAGCAATTAATCCTAACTCTTTGGCATTTATGCTAAATTATTGGGCATTAATACCCAAGTTAGGCATTCAACCCTAACGCTTAGGCATTTATGCTGAACTGTTGGGCATAAATGCCCAAGTTAGGCATTCAATCCTAACTCTTAGGCATTTATGCTGAACTGTTGGGCATAAATGCCCAAGTTAGGCATTCAATCCTAACTCTTAGGCATTTAATCCTAACTGTTAGGCATTTATGCTTAAATGCTGGGCATAAATGCCCAAGTTAGGCATATATGCTTAACTTTTCAGCATTAATTCCTAATTTTTGGCATTTATGCCTAAGTTAGGCATTAATGCCCAAAATTTAGGCATTTTTTTCGCAAGGGACGCTCACAACTCGGAGACTACGGCACGATTTTGTACGTGTCCAAGTATACGGGTCATTCCATACCAAATCGACCACTTTTGACCTCGACTCCTTTCGATTTTGCTGAAACTTTGAATCTTTTTCTATCTTATCAAAAACATTTTTCAGAATTTTTTTAAATTTTTTTACTTAACCGAAAAAAAGTTTTCAAAAAATGGCTCTTTATTTTTATCTATAACTTTTTCAAAAATTGAAAAAAATAATATACTATATATAGTAAATTTAAAAGTAAACTACAGTAGAAACCGTCAATATATGAACGTGACTCATCCGACACATTCGTACGAAGCAATCTATCGAAGGTCACGGTCCAGTGCAGTCTCGTTTGTAAAAAAATTTGAGTGTAATGTTGGTTGCTATACTTATGATATATTTGCTTTTAAAGTTAAATAATTAACATCTAACATAATTAACTTCTACGATAATTAAATAAAATGTAATTTTCTTAGAAGCTAATTAATAAATAAACTTTTCTTTTAACTTTAATGAAATATTCTATCATCTGATTACAGAACGTACACTCGTGGCGACATCTCTGATTTTAATAACAAATTTTTAGACCGACCCAACCTCACTTTCTTCCAATTAAATTCTTAGTATAGTCTGAAACACGTTTGGAATTGCATATTCCCCTCTCGTGAAACCGTCAAACTTGTTACAGAATATACTATTCTTTTAACTGTAAACGCAAATATTTCAGAATTGGTGACAAAAAACAAAAATGTTTACGCAGGTCAGGTACAAAGTGAAAGATATTTAAATCATGTGGATATAAAAACAACTTGCGTTAGTTTCACGAAATTTATTAAATATTGACAATTGTTTCGCTACACAGTAGCTTCTTCAGAATGTATTAAACTAATACTAGTACAAAATTTATATGTATAATAAAAATATTTTTGTATTCTAGCCTAGAATTTCTAGGTAAGGATTTTTATACGACATCTACCTGTGTTACATAATATAAACCACTGCCACTACAACGTTTAAAACGATTATTAATCCGTAAACACACAGTAGAAACAAGATATGCAAAAACAAAGATCATATGACATATAAAAACAAATGGCCGACGGTAAAGTTGGTTGCCTTACTATGTAATAAAATAAAATAAATTCCTAAAACACGAACTCTACTGACTTCCAATAAAATTAAGTAACAAGCTAGGACACAAGCGTCATATGTCCATCTTTGTCCAACACCTAGGCAGTTTTACATCACAGATGGCGCATTTTAGACCGGATGCTTAAAAACCTACGTGTGAGTACATTTACCGCTGCATCGAATGTACAAGACAAGTAAAACATTACTGCTAGCATGTCTGAGATATGTTCGGCACCCGATGAGTCACGTTCATATATTGACGGTTTCTACTGTACGTACACGTCATCAATCAGCTGATCGGGCACGGTTGTCAATGTGATGCTAAAATCCTTGCATCAAGGGAAAGTGGTAGTGCAACTACAGGGCGATAGATGGCGTTTACATGAATAATACCAAAATGTCAAAAGTCTGAGTTTTTATAACCTATATGATGCACCGCCAAAAGTATGTTTTTAGCCATTTTTAAAGACATTTTCTGATATAAAACCCAAAAATTTTGCCATCTAAAGTCAGTCTCTGGTATATATATTATTATTTTATGTATCCAACATATATTTTGTTAAAGATTCCAATATATAATTAATAATAATCCTATTTACCTCTCTAACGGCTGTTAAAGGTAACAAAGGTCCATTATTATCCCGTTCTGCCTCAAAATAGCGTATTAAGGATGACACCAACTCTTGACTCCGACTATTTAAATGCTTCGGCATTTTAAATATAGGAAACACAAAAAAACGATATATAACAAACACAAAAACGGCAATGAAAACTTAAACGATATAAAATAACACAAACAACAAACAAAATAAACGAAATAATACACGAATTAAACGAAATATTCAAAAACACAACTGACAGCTTCGAAATTCTGAAACGTCAAATTCTTTTTTATGTGTCATTTAAATATGAAATATTTGAATATAAATATGACAACATCTTAATTGTTGCCAACTGAAGATGTTTAAAATGCATTCAAATATTCAATTACAGACTTCGATTTAGTCATTTAGTGTTGGTACCAATGCGTAAAATTTTTGTTTTATTGATGACGTGTACGTAGTTTACTTTTAAATTTACTATACATTGCCGTTTTTGTGTTTGTTATATATCGTTTTTTTGTGTTTCCTATATTTAAAATGCCGAAGCATTTAAATAGTCGGAGTCAAAAGTTGGTGTCATCCTTAATACGCTATTTTGAGGCAGAACAGGATAATAATGGACCTTTGTTACCTTTAACAGCTGTTAGAGAGTTAAATAGGATTATTATTAATTATATATAAGAATATTTAACAAAATATATGTTGGATACATAAAATAATAATAAATATACCAGAGACTGACTTCAGATGGCAAAATTTTTAGGTTTTATATCAGAAAATGTCTAAAAATGGCTAAAAACATACTTTTGGCGGTGCATCATATAGGTTATAAAAACTCAGACTTTTGACATTTTGGTATTATTCATGTAAACGCCATCTAGGTTATAAAAACTCAGACTTTTGACATTTTGGTATTATTCATGTAAACGCCATCTATCGCCCTGTAGTTGCACTACCACTTTCCCTTGATGCAAGGATTTTAGCATCACATTGACAACCGTGCCCGATCAGCTGATTGATGACGTATACGTAGTTTACTTTTAAATTTACTATAAATTAAAAGTAGTAGACATCGAAAAAATATTTTTCTAAAAAGTTTTCTTAAGTGCCTATGGAACGTTGTTTTATCATTTAATCGACCAATTTTAAAGTAACTAAAAAATTCAACAAACTTGTAAATTCGCGTTATTTCATTTCTTGAAATTCATTCTATATGCAATATTTGCATTGCGTTGCAAAAGTAATTTCAAAGTATAAAATTGGCTGTATTTCAATGTTTGAATTACATAAACTGATTTGTAAAGAAAAGTATCCACTAATTGTAATTAAAATTAAATAAAAAACATTTATATTCATGTAATTTAAAATAATTGTAATTACCAATTCCGCACAAAGATGAAAATGAATTGTTCATGTAAATTTGCTTTATTTTATTGTTTAAAAATTATGCTAGATGCAAAAGTAATTTTAAAGTATGAAATTCGCTGTATTTCAATGTTTATTAAACTAAATGGTAAAGAAAATTACCTACATATTTTAATGTTTGAAATAAACAACGTCAAGTTAAATTGTTAAAATTCACTTACGTTATTTCACTGAATGATTGGAATTAACCATTCCTAATTTTAATGATAAAAAACAAAAATTGTTCGCATATTTCATTCATTAAAAATAAAAAAGTTGAATTCCATTCAATGAAACTGTGCATTTCATTTAATGGAATTGTGCATTAAATTCAATGAAAATGTGCATTCCATTCATTGAAATTGTGCATTCCATGCAATGGAATTGTGCATTTCCTTTAAAGGAATTGTGCGTTTCTTTTAAAGGAATTGTGCATTTCATTCAATGAAATTGTGCATTCCATTCAATAAAATTGATTACACTGCTACATTATTTTTTAACAATGGATGTACTGGATCAGATTTCCTTGTCTTTAAAAAAAGAGTATAACCAATTTATTTGAATAATTACATACAATAAATTTAAATAGGTCCTAAAATTGAATTTAGGTTTTATTTAATCAAAACGCATTGAGCTTCAGCGACCAGTCTTTTTAATGCTTTTTTTAGATAAGAAATAAGCTGTTCTTTTATCGGCCCGTAAGGAAATCAAAAAAAATTTATTTTATTTGAAACACCCAATATTTTTCACTATTATTTAAAACACTGCGCATGGGTACGGTCATATGGGATCTACTGCGCCTAAATACAATCATCCAGGAACTTCTTCGCTTGGATCCTAGTTACTGGTATTTATATTAAGTGCCATGTTACCTATTTTTATTGTATAGCGTTATTATTTATCACAGTAAAGTGGAAATTAAATTTTGTAAATTTCAATTAAACCGGACAAAATGCTTTAAGTAAAAATTGTCGAATTTTGTCTAGAAAACTTCAGGTACCTACTGCGCAATATTAGGTATTCAACCTTTCGGCACACGTTAAATCAACTGATCCTAACTGCGCATTTAAACAGCCATCTGGTACCCACTGCGCATAGATTCAACCCCCTGGTACCTACTGCGCATGGACATGACCATCTGGTACTCACTGCGCAAAGATATGAATATCTGGATACCACTGCGCATGAATCCAACCACCTGGTACCTAATGCGCATAGATAATAATGATTAATTAAAATTTGTTATACTGTTCTTATTATGCGCGTTCATTGGATGGAATGCACAATCCCATTAAATGGAATTTAATTGAATGCAATTCGGAATTTTAATGAATGGATTGCACAATTTCAATGAATGGGTTTAACTTGCTTATTTTTAATGAATGAAACACGCAAACACAATTTTAATTTTTTATTTGTTAAAATTTGTAATGGTTAATTTCAATCATTAAAATGCATTCCATTCAGTGAAATAACGTTAGTAAATTCTATTGATTGAAATTGACGTGGTTTATTTTAAACAATTAGTTGGTAGTTTTTTTTACCAATCCGGTAGGTACAAACATTGGAATATAGCGAATTTCATACTTTTAAATTACTGTTGCATCTAGCATGAATTTCAAACAATGAAATAACGCGAAGTTACAAGTTTGTTGAATGTTTTGGTTACTTTAAAATTGGTCGATTAAACGATATAACGGCGCTCCATAAAAATTACGGTATTCAATAATGTACTTATTTTAAATGCCAATTTCAGACGACTGCAGACAACCACCCAGCAGGTTTCCCCTCGATGTCAACGTACTTGGCATCTCAAACGCTTTTGAACCCAGCAATTCGGCTTATGCGCACGGATGACGACGACGTCATCTCTCAAACGTCATACGCACCGGTAGTTCGTGATTTGGGCGTCGATTTCTCCGTGGCGGCACTACGAACTAACGTGTTGGTGAAAGGCAAAAAAAGAGTGGGCGTGACTTTGCACCGTCAGTATTTGGATCTCTGTTATGCCGATAAACAGTTGCTGAGGCAGTTTTCGCTAAGCGATGGAACGGTGAGTGATATTTTTTTTTGTTCTAATGATTTAGACAATAATAGTTGTCAGAAATTTGCCGAAAAGTTTAAAATACATGTTTTAAATTTTTTTAGGCGAATATCAGTAGTATTCTTCCTATGGATGATGGAAAAAAACTTTACAAAACATCATTGTCATTTTCTTTAGTGAAAAATGAGGTGGATGGAAAGGGTAACATTGCTATTTGTCCTATGGACATACAATCTTTTATTTTATGATAATTCTAACATAATGCACTTTTTCTTTTGGTTTTTTTTGTCTCATACAATATTAATACTATTAACTTAAATTTGTCTTTTATTCTAGTATTTTCTTTTATCGATTTTACTATTTTTGTTAGAAAATAGGTTAAAATGTAAATTTCCATAAAATTTGATGTTTTATATAAAACTTTTTAAATTGAATATAAAAATTGGTCTTCTTCTATATAAATTGTATTTAAAGAAAGCAATAAACCAATCAGAGCACTGCATTCCCTGTCACAATCTAGTGTGCTGTGGAGAATGCCCTAATTTTCAATATATTTTTCACTAGATTCCTATTTTTAGTACAAGTGCAATTTTAGTAAATTTAATTACCCAGTGTTTTTTATGTACATACTTAAAATAATAATGGACAACTATTTATGAAAAATAAAAGTATATAATAATTATTTTAATAACATACAGGTCTTTCATATTTCCTCGCTACATAAGCCGAACGTTCGACAAAATTCGGATTTGTGAAGGGCGTTGCAACAGCATTAAATCATGATACATGATTATTATTTTTTTGTATCATGGCATTGTTAATTTAAAAATTGACAAACTAGATTGAATTAATTCGGTTGTTTATTTAGTGTTGGATGGGCTCAGAAAACCCGGCCCTGGCAATTTTTTTCATTCAACCCTTCCTTGGGCACAAAAATCAAAGATATTTTTTCAAAAATTTCAGTATAAAAAACAATATTTTAGTATTTTTATTAGTAATACATATGGGCCATTCCACGCGTAACGGATAGGACAGTTGCCGTGTTTTTATTTACAAAATAATATTGTTCTATTATATTACCAATGTCAAATTTTTATAAATTGTTCTAAACCAAAGCTGTTTAACAAGGTTTTTATTTGGCAAAATTAGGTATCGTGGTTGACTGTTTAATTCCTTAAAAACTAATAATTTAAAGCGTAACGGACGGGACTATGCCATCTAAAAGGTTTTTGGCTGTTCCACGGGAATTGCAATTTGCATATTTGCTGCAGTCGGTGGAGTCTGCAATACCATTCTTAACTTCAATCCATTTTCTTCTAGTACTGTTTGAAGCATTCTATGGACACCTGGAAACTTCTGCATGACATGGAATAACTCCTAATCTAATATTTTAATAATATGGCGTTGCTTTGCTTATCCATGTTTAAAAATTTTAAAAAACAACTACAACAACACATACAACACGGTTACTTGATTTTATGAAATGTTATAAAATACTATGTAAAGCCTATAGCTACAAAAAACGCTGCAAACGTAACCGATATTAAATTTTTCTAATCGTCAGCAAAAACAAATTCGGGGAAGTTTCTTATTTCCGAAAGCCAAAAGCAATAATTTCATCGCGATAATGCAAACCTTTCTATGATGCCATCTGTCCTGTATCCAAGCCAACAAGTTACGACATAGGTACATATTTTTTTAGTTTTATGTTTTTATTATTTTTTTAGTTTGAATTTTTTATATTTTTATTAGTTTTCTTGGCGTTTTTGCAGTGGCGGCCCGTGCTAAAAATGTTAGCCTGTTCTGCAAAAAAACTAAAGTAAAAGTAAAGTAAAATATCAGTTTAAGTAGAAAAGCTTTATTTCATTTTTTAAACTGTAATACAATGCTCCTTTCCTTCTTTGCTGCAAACTTATCAATTACTTTTTCGTTAAAGTTTTGTATTGATGCTATAAAAAAATTTTCAATAGATAACATCGAAAGAAATACAGTTTTCCCTGTTTTTATTTTTTACCCTCTAATGCCTTTTGCTTAAACACAATTGTGTTAACAGTCTGACTATTGAACAATGTTACAACAGAAATTTCTGTTGTATTTATACTCGAATACGTTACTGGTGGTCCAGAAAACAACCAATTGCATATGCTGATGTGTACACGATTATTATTAAAAATTCCATAATAATATTAATACTTTGGTTATTTATGAAATTAAACTTCATTATTAAATTTATAATTAATTAACAAAATCCGGATATAAATTAATTAGTGATTTTTGAAAAAAAAAATGTGTCCCAAAAATATTATTATTATTATTATTCCTTTGTTTGTATCTGCAACATATTTTAGAAAAATTGATTGCTTGGCATTAAAAATTATTAATTTTTTTAGTAAATTGCCATATTTTGCATAATATAATAATAATAATATAAAAAGAATTTGCATACTTATACTTGAAATGTGAGCGCTTCTAATAGCAATTCAGAAATTTTAGAATTATTAAAATCGTGCATCAAAAATTTTACTCTGCGGTGAGCGTGAATTATTGAAAATTTCTTTACATATATATCGAGTCAAATATAGTCAAAACATTAACAAAGTTTTCAAAAAAAAAATTAAGTCGCTAACTTCAACGGTTGTAGAAATATGAATTTTTATCCAAGAGTCCTGAAATGCGCGCTAGATTTGACTACCTATTAGGTTTAAAACCCCGTATAGCATATCGGCCCAATCAGATCAGGTAAGACGGAGTACGGACGTCGACACGGTTTCAAATATCCGAGCACTGATCTGCACTAATTGCAGCTCATTTCCACCGTAAATTGTGTAACAACGAACCTAACCGATGGCAGGCGGGGGCTAACGAAAGCTCGAGGTCGGCTTTAGCAGAACAAGGATGTTGAGCAGCTATGTAATGAACATTACTAGACGTGCTTTGCTTTAATATCCATTTGGCTAACTGGATTCGCAAAACGCGCAGCAGGCTCTTTAAAAATCTAACCATAAACTTTTTATTATTTGCTGATTTGATATTATTTAATTATAATAATAAATTAAATCATTGTTAATAATAATAGCATTAGAAATTAACATTTTTACTTTTATTTTTGGTGGTTCTGCAGCTCTGCAGCACTTAAGGACAAACCGCCCCTGCGTTTTTGTCAAATATATATTAGAGGTCATCCATTAATTACATGAGGCAATTTTGGCGATTTTTCGACTCCCCCCTCCCCTTGGTGAGATGTCGTGAGATTTTGCTCGACCCCCCTCCCCCCTTCCTTAATCTCACGTGAGATTTTTTAAATTGCATGGTTTTAATGTAAATAAGTTAATCTGTGATTGATTTCATTATATTTATTTAAAAAAAAAACAATTGTTATAATTGTTTACTTAATTTAACCCAGTTTTCTCTCAATTTTACACTGTTTGATTCGTGAGTATGAGTATGGGAACGTATGGCAGGCCCCAACCCAGGGTTATTATACCCCCTTTCCGTTCTTCTGCGTATCCCGCCAATTCACAGCATTACCTGTGTTTGTTGGATCCGAAGTTTTTACGCCGGCTGGTAGATCCACCCTAGGAGGTCGTGGATGACAGTGTCTATGGTTAAGGCCGCTCCACGGATTTTTGTCAGCCGGGTCGGGCCATACGTCCAATTTAGGAAGGTTTTTGGAGGACATTGAACTGACCCAAAACTAAGTACAATCCGGAATCCTCCTCAAACAGGGCTTTAGTAATAACCCCATTCAGTTGGGATTCCTGAATGTGGGTAGGTGGATTAGTATGCTGCTAGAGCCTATCCTTGTTGGTGTACTTCCTGTTCGTCGCTGTCAGAGTCGGATTTCGGTTCCGGTTAGATTGTTTGCCCCCCTGTGCGATATTGAGTCTTATCTTCAGAACCGAAGTGTTGCCGGCTGCAACCCGCCGTAATGAGTGCCCTCAGACTACGTGGAGATTCAGCCCCTCATGCCGCGTACCCGATACCCTCGAATTTTTACCCCGTGATCCCCATTCAATTGGGGTTATGATGGGGACTTGCTCAACTCACTGTCTCATTCGAACAGAAAAAATTACGTGATATTTGCCGAGAACACCCTCCCCCCCCACGTGTGATTGGGTGAGGTTTGGCTCGACCCTCTCCCCCCCCCCCCTAAACACCTCACGTAATTAATGGATGCCCCCTTATTAATTTAGAACACGTCGGGCCTACAGCCCGATCGGCCCTGAATTGTACCGGCCCACCGGGAATTTGCCCGGTTGCCCGGTCGTCCCATCCAACCCTGATTTACTTGATACCTACCGTATCAAATGAGAAACTAGACTGATTGCCTGTTGCTATCCGCGCGTGAAGTGGGGATTCCCCACTGGGGAATGCATCGCCGCGGCTAATCCGATTTTGTCGAACGTTCGGCCTCTGTAGCAAGGAAACATGTTGAGCAATCAGACAAAAGCAGGTAAATCCGTTTTAAGCAGTTTCGAGTTATCAGCGAAAATTTAATATTTTTCTGTCTGCAACATTTACACAAAGAACAACCCATGTATTCTATAAAGTATAGTGTTATAAGACCTTAAAACTCATTTTTTTGTCCACCTGTATCATGGGTTTTATAGTAAAAATCAAAACGGATTTATCTAGTGTTGCTCCATTTGTTTGAAATAGAAATAAACAAAACGCTTTATCCATTGACCCATAGAGGGTGGTCCAGGATTAATCTAAAAAATGTTAAATAATAATTATGTGAATTTATCTTATTTTGATTGAAACAAGAATTTAAATGGTGTTAATTTGGATTTATCTGCTTTTGCTTGATTTGATAGGTCTCGAGACTAGAGTTCTATATCAATTACTTGGTTTGGCTCAATTCTGAGTTCGCCAATGAATTAATCTTACCCCATTTACTGTTGGTTCATACCTAACTCATTTTTCAACAATAATTGTTCATTCATTTATCTGCTTTCATCTGATTGCTCCACACATGACCTGTATACAGAACAATGTCCTCTAGAAATCCAGGCAAAATTGTCTATTATAATTTATTTAGTTCCAAATGCTGTGATTTTTTATTTCTATTTTAATGTTTAGAAGTATATCCTAAAATTATTTAGATTTATATAAATTGTAAATACTATTAGGTAGAATTTTTACTTAAACAATCAATATTAAATAACTGATCCAATAATGTTGCAGTAGATTACCTGTAGAATTGGAGAATATAACACATGAGGCAATGAGATCCCAGAAAAGCGTAAAGCTTAAACTTGTAAATTTTCCTCCTCGTGTTATATGCTTTAAGTTCACCATTGTTTACA